GCCCCTGTGTTAAGAAACAAGTGGCACGCGTGCCATGGCTCTTGCACAATACGGAGGGGGAAGGATGACGAGGAGGAGGAGGAGGAGGAGGAGGAGGGGGAGGAGGAGGAGGAGGAGGACGAGGAGGAGGAAAGGGGGGAGAGAGGAGGCGAGAAATCGGATAAATCTCGGGGGGGCGGGACGGCGGGGGCGGTGCGAGGCAGAAATAAAATGGTCGGAGCGGAGGGCGGGCGGGGTACACTGGGCGGGCGGGGAGGGGAGAACGATCGTTGGGGCGGGACGGTGGGGGCCGTGCGACGCGGGAGAACACGTTCGTGGCGGAGGGGGCTGTGGGCGGGGCTCCTCCTGGAGCGCTGGGGACGCGGGGGGGCTCGGGTGACTGGGCTGGGCTCCTACAGGGGCGCTGGGGACGCGGGGGGGGAGGGTGGGGGAGGTGGTGTGCGTCGCGACGCGGAATGAAATGGTCGGGGCGGAGGGGGCATTGGGCGGGGCTTGGGGCAGAGGGCCACGGGGCGGGGTCCAACTGGGGCGCTGGGGACGGGGGGGGAAGGGGGAGGTGGTGGGCGGGGCTCCCGCTGGGGCGCTTGGGACGTGGGGGGGGCTCGGGGCAGAGAGCCACGGCGCGGGGGTCCCACTCTGGCGCTGGGGACGCGGGGGGGGTTGCGACGCGGAATAAAGCGTTCGTGGCGGAGGGGGCAGTGGACGGGGCTCCCGCTGGGGCGTTGGGGACGCGGGGGGACTCGGGGCAGAGAGCCACGGCGCGGGGGTCCCACTGGCGCTGGGGACGCGGGGGGGGTGTGCGACGCGGAATAAAGCGTTCGTGGCGGAGGGGGCAGTGGGCGGGGCTCCCGCTGGGGCGCTGGGGACGCGGGGGGCTCGGGGCAGAGAGCCACGGCGCGGGGGTCCCACTCTGGCGCTGGGGACGCGCGTGTGTGTGTGTGTGTGTGTGTGTGTGTGTGTGTGTGTGTGTGTGTATGTGTGCGTGTGTGACGCGGAATAAAGTGGTCGGAGCTCTAGACACCCTGTGCAAGATAATAAAACACAATGATGGCGGGACGCCCGAATATGATCCAGATAAAGCAGCAAATTATATTGTATATTGTATTGTGACATGGATGGTGGGGGGTCGTCTTTGCTTCGGGTCGGCCGCCGGTCGAGTGGTGGGTGTCTATGAATACGGAGTAGGGGTAAATCATCCTCCGAAGGGGAAGACGGGGTTTGGAAGAGAGCCCCCCTAACCCACCGACGTCCAGATGGCTGGTGGGATGTTTTTGCGGGCGTAGTCTTTGGATTCGTGTAGGCCGTGAGAGGACCTTGGTCGCAGGAGCTAAATTCGTCTCGGAAGCTTGGTCGGGATGATTCTCCAGGGAAGCTTGGCGGGGAAGAAGTGATTGCAGGGGACATGAGGTGGGAATGATTTGATGGGACGGGAGTGGAGTGCCCGTGGACTGGTCTTGAGGCGATGCCGATTAGAGTAGGAACGATACCTCTCTTTGACGTGCGCGCAGGAGAGCACGAAGTAATGCCTCCGGCGCACCGCTGGTTGCTTCTCGGGCCGTCTTGAGCGGGCCGAGTGCTGTCCTGATGCCAACTGCGTTTTAGAGCCGTCATGGGCGTCTTTGGATCGAGACGCGTGGCGTCTCCTGGGCCCTCTTGGACCGTCTGCCGCGTGCCCGCGGAGGGCTCCTGGGCCCCCGGAGATCGCGGCACCGCTCGCACCGGCCGAGGTGGTTTTCGCGGCTGACATTTTCAGTGCTCGCCGTGCGCGCATGGGGACGGGCGAGAGCCCACGGTTGCAGACGGCGGGCATCTGTTAAAATGCCAGGATAAGGATTGTGGAAGTCGCCTACGGCGAATCACCGCCGCCCCCTGCCTTCTAGAATCGTCCGTGTGGCCGAGCGTTGTGGCAATAGCTCTGCCAAGCTGTCGGACCATGTGTTCCCCCAACCGTTGTGGAAATCCTTCGGAGAACACTTGGGGGAGGATGGCGGGGACGTTCAGGAGGAGGCGGAGGAGGAGGCGGAGGAGGAGGCGGAGGAGGAGGAGGAGGAGGAGGACGACGAGGAGGGGGTATTTTGGGAGCCTCTGGGGACACTCTTGGGGCCTCCCGGGAGCTTCCTGGGAGCCTCTTGGAGGCATCTTGGGAGCCTCCTTGGGCCTCTTGGAGGCCTTTAGGGGCTTCTCGGGGGCCTCTTTTGCTGTCTTGGTGGGCTCCTTGTGGGCCGTCTGACGCCGTCAGAAGCCGTCTTGTGGGCCTCTCTGGGCCGACTTGGGGCCCTCTTGGGGTGCTCCAGGGTCGTCTTGGAGGCCATCTTCGGCGTCTTGGAGGCCTCTTTGGGTCCTTTTGGGGCCGTCTTGGGAGCCTCTTTGGCCGTTCTGGGGTCATCCTGGAGGCCTCTTGGGTGATCTCGGGGCGATCTTTGCGGGCTCTTGGGCCGTCTCGGGCCGTCGGTACGCCGAAAAGAATCAAATGCCAAAATCCTTCAAAGACTTAAGGGCAATCAGTGAGTTTGGCCTCTTCGGGCCTTCATGCAGGTTCTCTTGGAGGCTTCTTGGGCCGTGTGGGGCCATCTTAGAGCCATCTTCGGCCGTCTTGTTGGGCTCCTGGCCCGTCTGACGCCGTCGGAAGCCGTCTTGGGGGCCTCTTTGGGCCGACTTGGGGCCCTCTTGGAATGCTCCAGGGCCGTTTCGGAGGCTTTCTCGGGCGTGGTAGAGGCCTCTTGGGCCGTCTTTGGGCCCTTTTGGGGCCGTCTTGGGGGCCTCTTGGGCCGTTCTGGGGTCGTCCTGGAGGCCTCTTGGGTGATCTCGGGGCGATCTTTGCGGGCTCTTGGGCCGCCTCGGGCCGTCGGAAGTGCCAAAATCCTTCAAAGACCTAAGGAAAATCAATGATCTTAACCTCTTCGGGCCCTCCTGGAGGACCTCTTGGAGGCCTCTTGGGCACCTTTTGGGCAGTCTTGGGCCGTCTTGGAGGCTTCTTGAGCGGACCTGGAAGTATCGTGGCCCTCTTGGGCCGTCTTGGAGGCCATCTCGGCCATCTTGGAGGCATCTTGGAGGCCAGCTTGGGCCACCTTGGAGCCATCTGGAGCAGGAAAAACCTTTGCAACCACCTCTTGCGATCCCTTCCGTGTCCTTCCGGTGAGCCGGCGGGCTGGGCCGGAGCCCCAGGGGAGAGCTCTTCTGGAAAAAGAACCAAAACCATAACCGAAAGGATCCAGCACGCCAGGCACCCCTGTGACAAGCACAGGGGGCGGCGGATCGAACGGCTTTAGGCTCCATTGTGCCTGGGCTGCGGGTCTGAGACCACTCGGATGGCAGGTGGGGTCTCGTGGGTGACGTTTTGGGGGCGTTTGGCAGGCAGTTCATGGACCTCTTGGGGGCCTCCTGGGGGCCTCTTGGGGGGTTTTTGGGTGGCCTCATGGAGCTCCCTGGGGTCCTGTTGGGGGCTTCTTTGGGCAACTGGTGAGCGTCGTCTTTGGGTCGGTTGCTCGAAATGTAGTTCGGGGTCCCCCTCTGGGCCCCCTCTTGGGGCTGTCCTTGGGCCCCCCTTGGCCATCTTGTGGACTTCTTGGGCGGTCTTGGAGCCCTTTTGGGTCGTCTGGGTGCCCTCTTGGCGGCCTCTTGGCCTCTTGGGCCGTCTTGGGATAATCTGGAAGGCTTCTTTGGCAGTTTTGGACGTTGTGAACGCGCAAGAGGCGAATGTGCTAAGAACGCGCGTTTTCCAAAGGGAGTGGGACGATTGTTACTCGTTGAGGCCGTCTTGGGACGCCTCATGGGGGCTTCTTGGGCGTCCTAGGCCATCTGGAGGCCAGCGTGGGCGTTTTGGATAGATTTTTCGGCGACTCGTGGCCCTCTTGGACCGTTCAGAGGGCCTCTTGGGGCCCTCTTGGACTGATCTGGGGCCCTTTGTCCCCCCATGCCCGCCCACGGCGCGTTCGACCGGTCCCCGGGGGACCCCCCCCCTTCCAAACCGACCGGACTGGGCTCCCGGGGCAGGGCTCTGGGGAGGGGGAAGCATCTCACACGCCGATGAACCCCAAGGGGTCGGCGAACTCAAACACAATCGCATTTGTCGTAACGGCTGTTCCCCCCATGGACGAGAGATAGCCGTTACGACAGGGGGTGAGAACAGACAGGTGGACAGACCGGACAGCCGTGTGAGAACGGACAGACGGGTGAGAACGACATTGTGGACAGACCGGACGAGAGAGAACAAAGGACAAGGGGTGAGATAAATAATCCAATCACCTCATATGATGATTTGATGCAGCGAATGTCAAAGTCAGATCGACTGGTCTCATTCCCGACCATTTTGCTCTCATCATGCAGTTCATCATCCGTCCGATCAGCACGAGCACTGGCCCTATCACCCATTAAGACCCATGAGCATGATTACAGTGCCCGCTCATGCTTTCCCCCTTTCCCTTCCCCCTCCCCCTCCCTCTCTTTTTCCTCTCTCTCTCTCGCACAGCCACCCTATTTTGTCGTTTCTCTCCCTCTCTCTCTCTTTCCCGCTTTCTCTCTCTCTCTCGTGCTCTCTCGCTCTCGCTCGCTCCCTCTCCGTCGCTCTCGCTCGCTCTCGCTCGCTCTCGCTCGCTCTTTCGCTCGCTCTCGCTCGCTCTCGCTCGCTCTTTCGCCCCGTTGCGCTCTCTCGGTCTCTCGCTTTCTCCCCCCCCTTCTTCGCCCACCTGGGTTACTTTCCCTTGGTGCCGATGCTAAAGATCTGTTGCCGCGAGTGCCGCCACTCCCCTGACCAGCGAACTGCTCGATCCGTTTCGCGCAGTGCAAGAAGGATCCCCTCTCTTTCCTCCGTCTTGGCATCGCTCGGACGTGTGTGCACCTTTCCTTCGGCGAGGACCCTCGAGGAGCACCCTTGACCATCGGGCGAAAAAGCCGCGCACGAAACCGAGAAAAGGCACAGGGAAGGGACGTCCGAGCGATGGCCAGCCGTTCGGGCCGGACCGCCGCTCCCCCCCGCCGCGGTCATGGGCGGGCCCCCCGAG